TAATAATAATAATATATATATATATATATATATATATATATAACATATATATATATATATATATAACATATATATATATATATATATATATACAGGAAAAGTAATATGAATTTTTTACCAGCGATTAGCTTAATTGGTAATTAATCAAATAGTTGGATAAATAAATAATTTTAAATTATACAATTACACTTAGGGTAGTTCTAATTACATTCTGATTATTTTACTTGATAATTAGTTTCTTTTTTGGAATTATCGGTTTCTTACACATGAATTTAGACGCTTATTGTACACATAGATATACATTTTAATGAGCGCACTCTTTCTAATTCACGTGTTAAGTCATAATAAGCATCAAGTGTGTATGTGCAACGTTCAAGTTACACTAAATGTGACACGAGTCACACATAAACAGAACCTATTATTATATTTAGCGAACGTACAATGTAAGAAACAGGATCCGAGGTTCACAGAATACTTTTACAAAACATGTAAATACGCTCGCGTTGTCGTTTGCATAATCATTTTACAACTCGAAGAAATCATATAACATCGAGGAAACCAGCCGGCTGAATTTCGCGTCGTATTATTTGAATCGTTGAATTGCTCGACGCATTTATCTGAAAATTTCGAATGGTTGAATTCGCGGTGTAAAAATCAAATCGTCGAATAGTACTCGATTGAGCTCGATGTTCAATGTAAAAGTATCCACATCTAACGACAGATAACGCCACCAGCTGCGTGCATGATACCGTTGCGATTTAATGATTCTCGTTACGTAGAGGATAACGGATTATGCAGCTTCAGCGGAAGTAGCACAAAGAAAATAAGATATATGCAACGAATGACTAAATCAAGTTAACGAGATCAATTAGGGGCGGATCACTCCTTATCAATCCATTTCTATCTTTTGTGCTCGTAATAAATTATTTCTGTGGCGTGTGTTCTGCCGCACTAAGCCAAAAAAAAACAAATTTGGATTAATTTCAAAAAAGAAATCTCTATGTTACCGTAGACTCACTATTAACCCAGATAACAAACTAACGCCGTTTGTCGTCATTTTGACAAGATTTAACGTCATTTTGACGTTGTGCGAATTACTATATTAACGAAATATATATTAACAGAAAGATTTCTGGCAGTCATCTAATTTCAAATATAAATTTGATTGTGAAATCTCTCTCTCTCTCTCTCTCTCTCTCTCTCTCTTTCTCACTCCTATTTATTTTTCTCCTTCTTCTTTTTGCAACATATCGTACGGTGCATTTTTGCACTTTGGTATTTTAGCTCACGTTAACAAAAAAATAAATCCAGTCACAAGCCTTTAAAAATATTGCGTATATCAGTAATTGTATTTCGCCAGCATAATGACCAATCGTAATCGCAATTTTACGAGTATCGATTAATTGGGCCAAAATTGTTTGATCATTTTCTTTTTTTTTTTTTTCTTCTTTTGTCGCGTCGGTCTAGTAAACGCCGCGTTCGAAGAATTTCGATCGCTATTGAATTAATGAAATCGCGTCTCGTTTCTTTCGCGCTCGCGGTGCCGCCTCACGTCATCGTAAAAGCGTCACGGAGCTTTGAGTTAGTTATCCATTATTCGTAGAACCGACCGGAAAATCTTTTGTCTGCGTGGAGATTAAGTCTGAATCTTCCGTTACGGAGAATTCATGTGATTACATACGAAATGAAAGCGAAATGAGAAATACGATTACGTCGCCGCCCAGCTTGTCGAACATTAAGTCGACCTTGAAGCGGTTCGAGTCGGCTGTTACATCTCCCACGTGTAGAGATTCAATATGAATTTTTTTTTTTATAATAAACGCGAATCTCTCGGATTAAAAATTCACCGGCCAAAAATTCCACAGTCTTGATTCCTGAACGTTGCTATACGATCATACAATAAATTTATGAACTCAAAACTAGTCTTGATTTTAATTTTAGATTAAACGGCTTCTACACAGAACGCTCGCGTTTAACATTCTGAATTCAGATTACAGATTTCTTGAGATACATTTCTGATATATGGCACAGTAGAATAATTCTGTAACTTCGAAGTGTAGTGAATCAGATGAAAACGCAATTCATTGCTATCTCGCACGCCGCACGTGCAGAGATTTGAGAATAACGAAACAAAGAAC